GGGGTGGGGGGGGGAGATTTTGCTTCGATTTGTGTGTTTTGAAGGTTTGTTGTTTTGCATTGTTATTTTTGTTTTGCTGTGGGTTTTTTTGGTTTTCTTACTTTTTCTGGGAAAAGAGGGAGAAGATTTAAAAGAAGATTGCATACTATGATGTAATGTCTGTACGCTATTAGTATTATTTCCAATATTCTGCATTATATCCATATGCAATAAGTTTGCTCTGCTGTGAGTCTAGGCTTAAAAATTGAAATAATGTGAAGTGACCAATGTGTGTGGATTATCATCATCATCATCCAGTTCCAGATCTGCAACAGACATCGGTGATCATGGTTTTCCATTCATTCCTTTGCTCGGATTCTCTCAAAAAAGCTAGCTACGTTTCCCTGACTCTTCCCTGTTACCCATTTGTTTAGGTTCCCTAAGTATGTTGTTCTTGGCCTACCCCTGCCTCGCTTGCCCTCAACTTTGCCTGTGAGAGCTAGATGTTCAAGACCCTTATGTCTATTCAGGTGTCCCCAAAACTGCATGTGTGTGGATAAAGCCGTAAAAATGACGCATTAAACATCTAACTAACCATGTTGTTGTTCTCTCTCCCTGCCGCCCCCCCTCTCCCATCGCCCCTTTAAGTGGGAGTCATAACGGTTGAGCTGTCCGTCCTGATGATGTCTCTGGTGTCTTTCTTCGCCTTCAAGCATCTCTAAACACGCATGAAAGCACGCGGAGTCTCCGAGAGATAGATCAGCAGCAACGTTAAAAAGACCAGCGGATCGCCTCTACCCTCTTTGGTTTAGATACAGCTTTAATGTTCTTCTTTTTAACAATAAATATACACTCAGTAAAAGTTATAATATCATTGTCTTTGTCATAAGGATAAACGGAAGAAATGTTTTAATAGCCTCCTCTTTCAATAAAGATACACTGATGAAACGTATTAATATCCTCCCTGCTTGATAAAGATACACTAGTGAAAGGTATTAATATCCTCCTTGTTTAATAAAGACACATGAATGAAACATATTAACATCCTCCTTGTTTAAAAAAGATACACTAATGAAACGTATTAAAACCCTCCTTGTTTAATAAAGATACACTAATGAAACGTATTAATATCCTCATTGTTTAATAAAGATACACTAATGAAACGTATTAATATCCTCCTTGTTTAATAAAGATACACTAATGAAACATATTAATATCCTCCTTGTTTAATAAAGATACTCTAATGAAACGTATTAATATCCTCATTGTTTAATAAAGATACTCTAATGAAATGTAATAATGTCCTCACACTGGTCTTGAAGTTTATTTTTATCCAGATTCCTTACGCTTCACTTTTTTACCACCCTGCGTTTCGCTGCAATCGTCCATATCTATAATCGTTAGTGGGGCTTCCAGATTAAACTATTATTTGAACAAAGACACTACAAAATATCTATATGTGATAATAATATTTGTGAAAGTTCGCCACTTTGGTCGCCTAAAACTTCCGAACCACTTAACTTTCAATTTGAAAAACAAATTAACGGTGGTTCAGATCATTTAAAGGGTGCACAGTTATATTAAGGAGTCTGAAGTCACTGCACTTTATTTTTGAGTTTTTCATTAGCTTCGTTTAGATTTAATATTGAGAAAATCCGTCCTCTAAGACGCCATTGTAAACAAGTGAGGCTTCTGTTCACAAGCAGTGCACACTGTTTCCACAATGACTTAACGATCGATTCTTTTGAGTCAGTTCATTGAACGGGTACCCAGCTAATCTATCAATGATAATATAGTTTTTTTGTGTTCATTTTTTTAAACTCCTTGATATGTAATGGAACATTAAAAAATGCCCAGTACGAGCTCCTTATTTGGGCGCTCTCTTTTCTTTAATTTTTTCCCTCATAACTTAAATAAGATATCTCTTAGGCTTTTGTGGCACTATGCTGATGATATGACGTTGATTTGGTGTGGGACCAGAGGGAGGGGGATGAGGGTGTGAGTGGAATGGTGGTCTTTGGGGTTATGAGAAGGGGGGGGAGGAGAGAGGCACCTGCAATGGCGTACGTACTGGACTTTCTCTCAGAGCAATCTGGATTCCCGACAAAGTGTATCCTTTTTAGCGAACAACTTTGATTTGATTTCATTAATTAATCTTTCAGACATCCAAATGCCCCTAAATTGAGTCAGTGACATAATATACAATAATTAGCAAATACAAATTGCTACTCTCGTCAGAATAGGAGATAGAGTACTTTTGAAAGTCAGAATGTGGCTACCTAAAGGTAAAGGAGCTCATAAAGGAGGGCATAATACTATGGTCTCTTGAGAACGAGCCAGCACTCGACTCTCTCCTAGAAATTTTAGCAGAGGAACACAACGAAGAAGACAAATTTGTATGTCATTTCTTAAAAATGCTGGGAAATATGGTGTAGCATCACTCATTTTCTTTCACAATGCTTGGAAATATGGTCTAACATCACTCATTTTCTTTCACAGTGCTTGGAAATATTGTCTAACATATTTTCTTATACAATACTTAGAGAAGTGGTCTAACATCACACATTTTCGGAACCATCATTAATTTGATCCTAACTTGCTACCTTTGAAAATATTGGTTTTAGTTCCTTGGAATGTAACATTCGATAATAATCTTTTCTCAATTATTTACAAACTATATCTTTTTTAGGTTCTATTGGTGACTCAGTAGCCAAACTGTAAATGACAAGAAATATGAACCAAGAAGCAAATTGTTAAGGATAGTAAGCAACACTTAAGAGAAGATTAAATATTCCGATAACAACTTATAAGGGCAGAGAAATGGTAGCAAAAAGAAAAATGATTTTTTAAAGAAACAACTAGATAGAAATTTTTAAAAATAAATGGCATTGAAGATTATGATCTAATAAACGTTATCCAGAAAAATATTTTGTTTTTGTTTCTTTGTTTCCATGTTTGTTTTCTTAAGTTTCAAAACGTTGTCTCTGTTGTCCACTGGGGTGCTGATTCTGTGTATTGTAATTTCCCACAACTGAATTGGCTTTCGCTGTAATTGAAGGGCTTTCGTCACTTATCTGTACGTACAACTCACCCACCCTGCTCTCTCTCTCTCTCTCTCTCTCTCTCTCTCT